CTTAACAGTACTTCACAATAGCATATTTCATCGCAGCTTGGTTACACTGCTTGTGCAAGGATTTTATATTAGCCTGAATTCTTAGGCTTATGTACTAAAAAATTTATATGCACATACAAGGAGATTTTTATATCTAATATGACCTAATATGCATGAGTTTGCAAGTGATTGCCTTTTCCTTGTCAGCATGATTCCCCATTTTTATGACTCAGTTTTCATGAGTTGCATGTTATTTATTCTAGTTCTTACTGGCTTTCTGCTAAAGATCCATATCTCCAGGTCATTGCAATATTATACAAGAGCAATGATCTATAATACTTAGGATGGGGTCATTCTGTGGTATGGTGGTCAGAATCTCAAAGGCTGCATAAGGATCTTTATGTAATTTTTGTATTTAAAATATTTTTGTTCTTCTACTTTAAATTTTTTTATTAATTACACTTTATTCACTTTGTATTCCCCCATAAGCCCCTCCCTCCTGCCTCCCGATCCCACTATCCCTCCCCCTTCTTCACACATGCCCCTCCCCAAGTCCACTGATAGGGGAGGTCCTCCTCTCCTTCCTTCTGATCTTAGTCTATCAGATCACATCAGGAGTGGCTGCATTGTCATCTTCTGTGGCCTGGTAAGGCTGCTCTCCCCTCAGGGGGAGGTGATCAAAGAGCAGGCCAATCAAATTATGTCAGAGGCCGTCCCTCTTCTCATTACTATGTAACCCACTTAAACACTAAACTGCCATGGGCTACATCTGTGCAGGGGTTCTAGGTTATCTCCATGCCTGGTAGTTGGTTGGAGTATAAGTCTCTGGGAATACCCCTGTGTTCAAACTTTCTGGTTCTGTTGCTCTCCTTGTGGAGTTCCTGTCCTCTCCAGATCTTACTATTTCCCACTTCTTTCATAAGATTCCATCCACTCTGCCCAACAGTTGGCCATAGGTCTCAGCATCTGCTTTGATAGTCTGCAGGGCAGAGCCTTTCAGGGGCCCTCTGTGGCAGGTTCCTAGGTTGTTTCCTGTTTTCTTCTTCTGATGTCCATCCTCTTTGCCTTTCGGCATGGGGATTGAGCATTTTAGTCAGGGTCTTCTCTCTTGATTAGTTTCTTTAGGTGTACAGATTGTAGTAGGTTTATCTTGTATTATATGTCTATATGAGTGAGTATATACCGTGTGTGTCTTTCTGCTTCTGGGACAGCTCACTCAGGATGATCCTTTCCATTTACCTGCAAATTTCATGATTTCCTTATTTTTCATTGCAGAGTAATACTCCATTGTGTAGATGTACCACAATTTCTGCATCCATTCTTCAGTTGAGGGGCATCTGGGCTGTTTCCAGCTTCTGGCTATTACAAATAAAACTGCTACAAACATGGTTGAGCAAATGTCCTTATTGTGTGCTTGAGCCTCTTTTGGATATATGCCTAGGAGTGGTATAGCTGGATCTTGAGGAAGCGCTATTCCTAGTTGTCTGAGAAAGCGCCAAATTGATTTCCAGAGTGGTTGTACAAGTTTACATTCCCACCAGCAGTGGAGGAGGGTTCCCCTTTCTCTACAACCTCTCCAACATGTGTTGTCACTTGAGTTTTTCATCTTGGCCATTCTGATGGGGGTAAGGTGATATCTCAGGGTCGTTTTGATTTGCATTTCCCTAATGGCTAATGACGTTGAGCATTTCTTTAAGTGTTTCTCTGCCATTCGATATTCCTCTACAGAGAATTCTCTGTTTAATTCTGTTCCCCATTTTTTAAGTGGATTACTTGGTTTGCTGCTTTTCAGCCTGTTTAGTTCTTTATATATATTGGATATGAGTACTCTGTCAGATAAAGGGTTGGTGAAGATTCTTTCCCAATCTGTAGGCAGTCATTTTGTTTTGATGATGGTGTCCTTTGCTTTACAGAAGCTTTTCAGTTTCATGAGGTCCCATTTATTGATCTACTTTAACTTTATTTCAAGGCCTGGCCATCCTTTTGTAGTCCAATTTTTTTACTCACTATTGATGGTACAATGATTAATCTTTGAAATTATTTTCAATAGAAAGAAATAGAACGTAGTAATTTTTCTGAGCTCAGAATAAAGGGAAAAGATTACTCACTTTGAGACTAAGATAGAACCTCTGACACCATATGTTCGGATGGTTCAGCATCTGAATGCAAACAACAGCCCCAACTCCTCAGCCACAGGACCTTCTCCCACTTGTACTTTCTCCCACTTCTCCCGTGCTCAGGCTTCTTGTTCCTCCTAAGGATCTCAGGGGATCTAATGCTCCGTTACCAATTGGAAGTGTGTTTGCCTCATTATCTCAGAGACCGTGGTTGGAACAGAGATATATTCAAATATTGTTGCCTCCACAGCGGCATGCAGCGAGAAGCGCACGGAAAGAGTAGCAATGAATAGATGGATAAATGGAATTTGGCTCCACAAGCCAACTCATTGTCTTCAAGCGACCTAAGAAGTGGTGTGGCTGCTCTAAGACTTGAGAAAACAAGAAATAATAGCCATGCTGAATGCTCACTTCTAGGTAGTTTTTCTACAGCATTGTAAAGGAGTTCTGAATGATGTTGGTGCATTCTGGTCTCTAGCTTTTGCCCTCTTGTTTAGGAGTTGGAATCATGCTTGCTGGACCTGTTTCCACACAGCAAGAGCGAGCATTTATAACATGCTCGTATGTCCCACCCTTCCCGCTGTGCCAAGCCCTTGTGTGGATTATCTATTAACTTTCACAACAACCTGATGAAACAGGTGATATGGAGATGGGGGCCTATGTAAGTTGAGCAACTTGTCCAAGTTAATACACATAGCAAGCTAAGAACTTGTGCTCAAACCAGTCAGGCAGGCTTCAGAACTAAGCTCGTCATCATTTCTTAGTGCTTCCCAGAGTTCTATATTTAGGGCCATTCATCACTGTGTGAAATTCTTATTTTTTGTTTCTGCATTTAAATACATATTCCTTGATTGCAGAACATTGCATCTCCATATAAAAAGCAATGCATGGCCTGTAGTAGGCATTGAATAGATGATTAGTACTGTTTTCCAGAATGGGAAATAAAAGGAATGACTACTGGATCATCCCTAAATGTTTATAATTTTTACATTTGAGGAGTATTCATTTTATGAAGGAATTTGTTAAAATAGAAAACTTTAAGCCCTGCTTAAAGATAGGGCTTAAACTAGGGCTTAAAAAATAAAACAACTTCTCTTTAAAGACGAGGCTGTACTTGCAGGAATTTTGACTATTTGATAATGTAAACTTCAATCCTAAGTGTAAGGGTGATACAGCTCAGACCCTTTCTTGGAGGAAAATCTTGATGTCACTCATATCCACTTGGCTATCCCTTAAAGATGCCTAATTCAAGAACAAAACTAACCCTAATCCCTGCGTGCTTAGAGAAGATAGGCACAGACCCAACTTTACTTATGAGAATCTCCATGCTACAAGACGACCTTAGATCTTGTTCCATTCCCACGTCTTTCTCTAGCTAGTTGTATCTGATAATAAAACATGAAAGAAAATTTGACAAGGTGCTATACAGAATCACAGACCATCTAGGGTCACTAGAAGCTGCCTGGCTCTGCCTGGGAAATACTTCTAAAGCTACTTTCCCATCACCCTTCCTCGTTTGCTCTTCAATTTCTGACCCCCTACCAACTCTTATCCTATCTCTTTTTATACTTTCCCTTCCTGAGTATGTCATTTGCCTCCTCATGTAAGTGGGGAAAAAATCTAGCCACCACAAAATACATTTTTGTTGCCAATGACACTATGGTATTGGAGCCCAACTTCACCCCCTGAAAAGCCAAATTTTGAAACTAAATAGTATCTCTCTGTAACTCTGAGCAACCTTTTGTTTCAACTAGTTCCATTCCTGGGCTTCTTCTGGAAGAAGAAGCATGTATGCACATTCTTGCCATAAAAATTAGCATGCTGAGTGTGCTGTCCCAGAAGCAGAAAGACACACACAGTATATACTCACTCATATAGACATATAATACAAGATAAACCTACTAAAATCTGTACATCTAAAGAAACTAATCAAGAGGGAGGACCCTGACTAAAATGCTCAATCCCCATCCCAAAAGGCAAAGAGGATGGACATCCAAAAAAGAAGAAAACAGGAAACAAGTTAGGAACCTGCTGCAGAGGGCCCCTGAAAGGCTCTGCCCTGCAGACTATCAAAGCAGATGCTGAGACTTATGGCCAACTGTTGGGCAGAGTGCAGGGAATCTTATGAAAGAAGTGGGAAATAGTAAGATCTGGAGAGGACAAGAACTCCACAAGGAGAGCAACAGAACCAGAAAATTTGAACACAGGGATCTTTCCAGAGTTTCATACTCCAACCAAGTACCATGCATGGAGATAACCTAGAACCCCTGCACAGATGCAGCCCATGGCAGTTCAGTGTCCAAGTGGCTTCTATAGTAATGGGAAGAGGGATTGTCTCTGACATGAACTGATTGGCCTGCTCTTTGATCACCTCCTCCTGGGGGGGGGGGAGGAAGCAGCTTTACCAGGCCACAGAGGATGACAATGTAGCCACTCCTGATGAAATCTGATAGACCAAGATCAGAAGAAAGGAGAGGGGGACCTCCTCTATCAGTGGACTTGGGGAAGAGCCTGCATGAAGAAGGGGGAGGGATAGTGGGATCGGGAGGCAGGAAAGAGGGGTTTATGGGGGGATACAAAGTGAATAAAGTGTAATTAATAAAAGTTAAAAAAAAAAACTAGCATGCTGTGATGTTAGAACTTCTACACAAAGTTCTAAAAGCTTCTATGCTAACATTTTAAAGAGTTATTTCTAATTGAAATAAGTGCCTAAGAGTGCTTTATTCCCTCCTATGTCTTTACTTAGGCTTCCCCTTTGGACTAGGCTGTCTCAAACCAGAGTTTGGGACCTTGTTCTCCGATGTTGCAGTAGAGTTTACATTCAACTTCTTTCATTTCATATAGTTGCATTTCACAGTTGTCTTTGAAATGTTAATTGTGGTTTGTTGGTGTATTCACATCCAGATTATATTCAATGTCCTTATTGTATGAGGAGGTTTAATGAAACTGCTGCCCAGAGACATATTAATTTCTGCAAAGATCAGTCTTCTCGGCGTGTCTTTGATCCAGCCCAAACAGCAGCCAGACTGGCATCTAGAGCTCAGGTAATATCTCTCACCCAGATGTGAGCTTTGTGTCTTTGCATGTCTGGGACAAACAGGTAGGATCTGACAGGGATCTCAACTGTCCATGCTCAGAAGTACACGGGTCAGAAGGGTGATCACTGTCAATCATCTTCAAGGGGATTGTCTACTTCTGGCTCAACGTACCTTTGAAAGCTGCAGAAAAAAATATTTCTGAAATGCTTGAAGCTTCTCAGGATGAAGACTTCAGTCTATAAAGAATGTCACTGTAGCATTATGCTAATACCCTGCTTATCCAATGGTGTTTATCAGCCTAACCCACTCAGAAAAGAACTATGACTCAGTGAAACTGGTCTAAGAGGGAGCAATCTTGCCAACAAGATGCCTCATGGCTTGGGCTCTGATTTGTAGAGGGGGGGTGGGTAGATGAGATATACAACATGTCTAGTTTATGGTCTGTGGCCCTAACCAAAAACACAGTGGCTGATGGGGATTGAGAAGATGGAACAAAAAGGAAACAGATTTAAAGGGGTTATGGGTCAAGCCAGTTAAGATTGGAGGATGAAAAGAACTGATCAGATAGATGCTCAAAAGTATGGGAACATCAAAGCCTGAGCGTCTGGGAGCAGCAACAGGAACATTTCTGGGAAACCATGGAGCTGTGTTTCTCACTTTCTTTCCACTCTTCCACTCTTTTCCCACGGCTTCTGGCTTTTTTTTTTTTCTTTTTAATTTTTTTTTTTTTGAAACAGGGCTTTCTCTGTAGCTCTGGCTGCCCTGAAACTCGCTTTGTAAACCAGGCTGTCCTCACACTCAGAAATCTGCCTGCCTCTGCTTTCTGAGTGCTGGGATTAAAGATGTGTGCCACCCATGCCTGGCAGTATTGACTTCTCTGTTCCATTTTCTCTTGGTGGCTTCATGTGTCATAAGCAGTGTAGACATGAATTTATTTCAGAGTTTTGTAATTTTGTTTTTCCAAACTTGGTATGTACACATGCACTTAAGACACATAGCCTGAAATCAATTTATCCAAAATTTTCAGTGTGCCTGTATTTCAGCTGCAAGACATCGCATGAGGTCATGTGTGGAAAATTTCACACCATGCTGGTGGTCAAAATGCTTCTGGTTTTGGAGCATTTCTGAATACACATGTTTGGATTAGAGGTGCTGTAAACCCGAAGAAACACAGGAGAGAGGATGCAGATTTGCTGAGGAGTGCTGAGCACAGGGTTAGAGGCTTAGTCTTTCCCGCTGAGGCCCTGGGGAAGAGGGCAATGTCAGAGCCCGGACTCTGTGGTCATGTTTCATTTCCCATTGCGTGGTCGATCATGTGTAGGTGAAACTTTGAGACTTACCTTCCCCTGTACATGGCATTAATCATGCATAACTAGTTGAGTTGTTGGGAGTCCAGTGCTGGCCCAGAAGGTCCTTTGACTGTCCATTCTCTTCCAAAAGCCCCATTCTCTTGCTGGGGGTTGGAAATAACAATTTTGAAGGGCTATGACATCTTCAGGCTTGAATTTAACCTAGGTGTGGAGAGGTCTTTAACTTCAGCTCTTCTTCCACCCCGTACAGCAGTACCAGCAACTGACATTACTATGGATGGTTCTATCCAGGCCATGGAGCTTGTCAGTATTAGTGGGCCAAAGAGGGTGAAGGGAAGCAGCAAACAGAGTGTTTTTTATTTGTGAAGATGGCCAGCTGGCTATCCTGAGTGTAACCAGGACTTGGCCCCATTCCTCTCCTTGTTTTCCAGAGCTCAGTGGTGACTGGGAGCAGAGGGGAAATTGCTTGCTCCCTGAATTCCATTGCTCACTGTCTGTCTGAATGGCAGTGTTTGCTCCCCAAGCGCCAATGTCACCACTCTGGGACCTTGCCTAATAGTGAAGCTTATTCAGAAATGGAACAAGAAAGAAGAGTTTGCTCCAGGCTTGCAGGGCTGTTGATGGCACAGCCAAAATGTGTTTCTATTTCAAACTTAATCAGCTTTAAAAAATCTGTCATGCCTCTAACCAGAAAAGACCAATACAGGCCTATAATAAAAATAAGCCTTTGGGGACTTTTGCTGTGAAAGTGAGAGGAGCTGAGTTCAAATCACTGGCACAGAAAAGCCAGTCATGGCTACATATGCCTATAATCCCAACAGTGGGGGCAGAAATAGATAGATCCTGGGAGCTTATTGGCTAGCCAGATACCAAAACAGCTCAATTATAGACCCCATCTCAAAAAGTAAGGTAGGAAATAGTTGAAAAAGATACCCAACTGACTTCTACATGGTTGAATATGTGTACATACACAGAAGTGAATGTACACACAAAATAACAACAACAACAATAATATTTAAGCTGGTTGAGGATGGGTGATCTGCCTGCTATATTGTCACAATAATGTCCAAACTGATGAGGAGTTCATTTAAATATCAGAATATCTGGAGGTAGAGCCACAACAATCTAAGAGGGGCTCCTCAAAAGGCTTTGGTTCTTGTTCTGTTTCCATCTGTGTAGTCGGCAGCTGTTCTGTAGGACTAGCAAGTGCCTGGGGATACTGGAGTTCTGTGCTTAAAACATGTGCTGCCTGTCAATCTTTGTTTTTCTTCTCACTTCTCATCAGAAAGCAAAGCCACCTTCAAGCGTAATGAGAAACAAAACATTCCATTACCGTATCCTGACTGACATTAAACGATTTCTTTTATCCTCACACAACTGATTTTATAGGCTAAACAGGCCACCACCAACCTCAAAGGCTTGCTTATGAATGAGTGTTTCCGAGCCAAACTGTGGCTTGGAGCACCAGCAGGAGACTAGGACCTGGGCTAACTGAAGCGCAAGGTGTGTCTGCTTCCTCTGCGCGCGAAGGTCAGCGTGACAACTCTAACCTTCCGCTAGCTGAGTGAATGCAGGTTTACCTCCTGCTTGGGACCCAGGGTTATGGTGTTGTTCCTCTTTCTATCTGTAGGGTAAGGCCCAGCCAAGTCCTAAAAAAGAAGCAACGGTTTCTAGTGCGGTGGGAGCCCGACTGCAGAACAGGGCTGTGGAAACCAAGAATGAAGCCGGGGCTCGCTCACGTAAGTCGGAGCATGCGCTTGCACTGTCGCGTCCTGGGGCAGAGCCGCCATCCTGCGGCGGAGACCTGCCCGCGGTCAGTAAATGCTAAGATGGCATCCAGGGCTGCTGCTGCAAAAAGCATGAGGGTTAGTTTGAAGTTGAACCTTATCTGTCGAGAGGGAATATTTCTTATCAGGATTGCACCACTCTGACACTGTAGGAAGTCTTGTTTGATTACAGCAGCAGCAATCCATGGCTATCGCTCTCCAGTCTGCTCAAACGGAAAAGACTGCAACTCTCAGGGAACTCTCAGGTCAGGTGTACAAATGAATGAAGTGATTGCTTCTGACTGGCAGCAAATATCGCCACCATCATGGTACTGGCTTTGTAGCTTCTCTACATAGTTTACCCTGCCACCTACAGAAATGGAAACGAGGCACAAAGAGGATACATGACCTTTCTAAGGCACATAGTGGGTAACCAGCAAGCTGGACTAAATACCTGCTGTTCGCTCCACCCCAAGAAAGCTGTGAGAAAGGTTGGCTTCTCTATGCCCAACACACATTTTTATAAAGTCAACCGACAAAGAAACAAATTGCCCTTTGGCTTTGCGTACTGTGTTTTAGCTGATGTCTCTCCTCCTCTTCTCCTCTCCCGCAGTTCCATGGCCCCCGTCCTCATGTTCCGTCCTGCCCCCAGTCCTTGACCTTCCTACTTTCATATCACTTGTCATCATGCACTGTTTAGGCAGTGTGCATTATATCACAGCCACAGTGCCACTTCTGGACAGCAGTCATTCTGAAGGTACTAGCCAGTCTCAGCCCGAGTGGTAGAATGAAGAAGTTTTGCTGTTTATTTTGAGTGGCTTATCAAGAGATTAAAAACTTAATTGAGGGTCTGGAGAAATGGCTCCGTGGGTAAGAGCACTAACTGTGCAAGCTTGAGGTTCTACTTCAAATTCCCTCTAAAAAGCCGGTGTGTCGAGCCACATGCCTTTAACTCTACAACTATGGGGAAGAAAAGGGATTAGATTGATGGAGCTTCCCCAATGCTGGTCTAGCTCCAGGTTCAGGAAGAGACTTTGCCTCAAGGGAATAAGATAAACCACCAACACCCCCCCCCCGACTTCCACATAAACGCATGGCTGCATGCACCCACACAGGTAAATGTTCACATACACTACAGGTGAAATGCCACAGAAACAAAATAAACAAACAAAACCCAGAGTCGCTAGTTTACAGCTGCCTGCACAGCCCTACAAACCCAAGCTGTTAGAGGTTTCCCCTGCCTTTGGTTTGGTTTTGGCAACATCACTATTTGTGTTTTCCTAATAAAATATTTTTCATTTTTTCCAATTTTTATATACACTCACCACTTTAATATACAGCTCAGTGGTATTAAATGCATTCATCATGTTTCATAAGAACAACCACATAACTTACCTCTACTGCTGTTTTCCTGCTTATTCCTGAGAAAAGAACCTAGGTCCTTGCTCACTCGTGTTCTAACACTGAGCTCTTGTTTCTTTTACATTGCATTTACTTAGACTGTGTGGTGCCGTGACACTTCTCTGGGGTCAGAGGACAGCTTATAAGACTCAGTTCTCTCCTTTTACCATGTGGGTCCCAGGACGAAACTCAGGCCAGCAGGCTTGACAGCAAGCACTCTTGCCTCCCAGCCATCTCACTGCCTCTTTGGACTGCTTATTTTGAGAGGCATACTAAATAGCCCAGGCTAGGCTTGAACTCATGTAACCCATGTAGTCCTGAAATTTGGGATCCTCCTGCCTCAGCCTCCCCAGTATCTGGGTGGATGGCTCTTTCATTCTGTAAAGCTGAAAGTGGGTACCCATCAAACATTAGCTCTGCATTATCTTCTCTCTCAGTCTCTTGCAGACACTGTCTGTATGATCTTGGCCATTCCAGTTATTCGCAAAGCATTTCTACTTTCATGACTAGATTATTCCACTTAGTGTAATGTCCTCAAGGTCCAGCCATTGCAACATCTGTCATAATCATTACTTTCTAAGACTTAACATTCCTCTGTGTGTGTATGCAATAATTTTGCTTATCTACTCATCAATCAGTGTGCAGTGGGTTGTACCCACAGCTTAGCTTCTACGAGCATATCCAAGACTCTTTTTTCAGTTCACTGAGATCTGACTTTGAACTCTTGGGATAAACGCTCAGAAGCAGAATTGTTCTGTTTTTAAATTTTCAAGAAGCCACAGTGATATTTTTTCTGCCAGTTGTACAATCTTACATTTCTACCTACTAACATTGTTCAAGAAAGAGGCCCATTTTTCCATGTCTTCACCAAATCAGGGAGGGGGTCAGTCCTAATGCATGATATGTCATTGATATTTTGATGTGCATTTCTTTAATGATTTAGGATGCTAAAAAATCTTTTATCATTATGGTCAATAGTGCTTATTGACCATTAATGGATCGTCTTTGGAAACGTCTACTCAAATCATTCTCATTTTAAATTCATTACTGTATTATTTTCTTCTGTATCACTGTGATGATCAAATGCCCAACAGAAATGAGTTAAAGGTGAAAGGAGTTGTTTTGGCTCGTGATTTAGAGGTATCAAGATATACATTTCAGGACATGGCATAGAATATACGCTCAACACCAGGGTGGCCAGGAAGCAGAGGAAAGTATGCATATCCTGAGCTGGCTTCTCCTTGTCCTTGCTTATTATTTGAACCCCCCAGCCGAAGTAGATGGAGGGTCTTTCTCCCTAGTGTAACCATCTGCACATGCCCTCAAACACATACCCAGAAGTGTGTTTGACTATCTCTAATTAATTCAAAATCACCATCATCATTGTTATTATATTATTAGTAATTCTAAATTATTATTAGGTTATCATCCATCAATATATCACAGTAGAAGGAGCAGGAGCTTGAGGAAGCTCACTGCATTCCATCCACAGCCAAGAAGTAGAGAGCTATGAGTCCTTACACTCGGCTTACCCAATCCTTTTTATACAGCTCAGCCTCCCCAGCCTAAGGAATAACGCACATATGAAAATAGGTGGACTTTCCCACTTCAATCAATGTAATCAAAATGATACCTTCGAGGTATGCCAAAGGTCCATCTCCCAGGTATTCTAGATTTCATAAGATGAAAATTAGTTAGCCATCAAATGCCACCTCTTGTCAACTTGACACCCAAAATACAACATCATTATAGATCATAACAATTCACTCCTTGTCACCTAAGCCTCATGTTCATCTCATAAATCAGTACACAGTCGAACTTCAGAAGTCTAACAATTGCAAGTTTAAAAAGTCCAAAGTTGGTTTCTCATCTGAGACTTAAGGCAATCGTTAGGAGTGCTCTCTTATGAAATTAAAAAGAAAGAAAGTGAAAGGTTATGATTCTAGCACACAATGACACAGAATGAGCACCATCATTCCAAAATAAAATCATTGAGGCAAAGCAATGAATGATGAGCCAAAATTTCAAAATCCAACAGGGCAAATGCCAGATCTTAGAACTCAGGGTCTGGCGTCTGAGACTCAAGATGAAATTTGCTGAAATCCAAACACTTAGATCGTCCTACTTTCCAGCTGTGCCATGTGCATAGCACATAGGCCCTCTCTAACGCCAGACCCACTCCGTGCCTCAGCTCTCAACAGCAGACATAGCATGAGCCAGGCAGCTCAACTGCTCTCATGTCTCCACTGCAACTTAGATTTTACTTTGACAACTGCACATAGTGGCTGCTCGGGGCCTTTTTGCAGGGACCCTAACCCTACCACACATGGCTTGGCCTCTGCTGTTCTTGGAAACAGTGGAGCTGAACTCCACGCCACCCCAGTCTCCTGTCTTTAATGCTTACAAAACCAATGGACAGCGCTGTCAACTTCTCTTGCCAGTTCAAGAACACAGCTATATCAGCTTCTGTGCTGTGATGACCCCGAGGAAACACTTATCTTCAGCTTGAGCCTTCTTGCTTGAAATTGATTTGGATCTCTACAAAACAGATCGTCTGATGGACGGATTTTACCATTAAGACAACTTTCCTATCACCTGTTGTCCCAGTGTAGCACGTGAGATTTCTCTTCAGTGGTTCTGATCTCTTTAACAATTATAGCTGTTTGCTCAGCACTGATCTGAATGCTATTCTGTCTCGAAATTTCCTCTGCCAAACAAATTAGTTCATTGCCTTTAAATCAATGTCCAGAGAGGGACATGAGAAGAAGAAAGCCAGATTATTAGGCAAAATGTCACATGAATGGTCCTTGGCTCAGTTCCTGATGGAGTCCGTGTTCACGTCTGAAATATAACGGGCCATGCCATCTGCATTTCTTGCAGCAGTTTTATCTTCCAGATTCCAATCAGAACAGATCATTCATCTCCATTTCCAGTGTGCAAGAGCTTTTCTAGGACAAAATACCAAACTCTTTCACTCTGCAGCCACAAAACAGTTCCAAAGACCTCAGCACCATGAGGTCAGATTTCTCGCCTGCTTCTCTGTACTAGGTTTTTTGGTCTTCGTTACTTTTCTGTTGTCATGACAAACTATCCTGGCAGAAGTAACTTAGGATGGCTTGTTTCTTTCATTGAATCTGTAATTACTTGGGAAGATATAGAAACCTTGACAATAGTAGGTCTCCCAGTCCATAAACATGAAATGTTTCCATTGATTTATCTTGTTAATATCTTTTTTTAAACAAGGAAATCATTAAATTTGCAGGCAAATGGTGGGATCTAGAAAAGATCATCCTGAGTGAGGTATCTCAGGAGCAGAAAGATATACACAGTATATGTTCACTTATAAGTGGATACTAGACCTATAAGATAGGATAAACATACTAAAATCTCTACACCTAAAGAAGATAAACAAGAAGAGGACCCAGGGTAAGATGATCAATCCTCACTTAGAAAGACAAATGAGATGGACATTGGAAGTAGGAGGAAACAAGTAACAGGACAGAGCCTACCGCAGAGGGCCTCTGAAAGACTCTACCTAGCAGCATATCAAAGCAGATGCTGAGACTCATAAC